AAACGCACCCGAGGAGGACGCCACGATCCTCGCAGCACACGGCGATGTGAATGACCACATGTAACAGATTTAAACACCATTGCAACGCTTCCAAGTGTGACCTGAAGGTCGCGTTCATTATGGAAGGTAGGTTACTGTCCAATAAAGGTGCATGTCCTACCAAAAAATTCATGCATATTTATTGGTATTTGTGCATAACATATTTTATATTCATGATTAAGCGAATACAAACAAAAAAAACACTGGAATTTCGTAATTAAGGACTAAAAAAATATAAAACTGTATGTGTGTGTGATTTTGTTTAGTGAAAAGCGATTTTTTTGTGCTGCATTTTTTCTTTTTCAGATCGGAATTTCCGCAGTGAAGCAAACTGCCACAATGTGCACTCGGTATATTGTAAATAGTTAACTGTAACTCTATTTTACTTTTAATTTATTCTATTGAAGTGTTTTTTTATTCTTATTTTTATTATCTCTTTTTTGAACTGTTGCATGAGCCAAATCAATTTCCATGTCTGTGACCTCTGTTACTTACGTTGGCAATTATAATGATTCTGATTCTGATTCTGATTCTTGATTCTGAATAATACGTCACTGCTCACAGACATTAACAATCGAGGCTTGCGCAAGGGGAGCGATCATGGCAGAGGGCAACAACATTAACAATTTGGCTAAAACTCAGGTATATAACTATATTTGATCATTTTGGTCCGTTAATAAATGTGTAAGAAAATATTAATTCCAAAAAAATGTGTGCATAAGATGTTTCTTGTACTCCGAAAACGTTTTTTTAGGCTGTGTTAGTTAACTACTAGCTTCAAATGCTAGTTTTACTGCTTAGCATGATATTTTTAAAACAACATTTTTACATTCTTAGCTTTACATTTATGAAGCCTTTGCCCCGAATCAATGTGGTTAAAGTGTTGATACCATAGGACTGTATTATATTAATGGACAGACATGTCAAGCCTATCTCCGCCGTTTCTATACTAATGGACAAAAAATGTGCTCTACTGGCTAGCATTCCAATGGCCTGCGGAGTGGTCCGCACCACAAGAAAAAATGGTGTATAAACGCATCTGGCATGCGTCAGCGGAGCAGCTCATTATTTGAACGAGGAGACTTCAAAAATTCTCAGCAAGGGAAACTAGAGTGGACCAAACACCCCCTCAGCAGTGACACAAATTGGAAACGGAGCTTTGGGCCAAAGAGCCACTTTTGGTCCTCATGTAAAGAAGTTTTTGAGACGTATGCCAACGATATATGTTAAGCATTGGTATTCTACTTTGGTCACCCCACAGGCCCGGGTGGGTTGGTACTGCTGCATTGTCAGGCACGTTCATTTTTGCCAGTTTTGAGCCGGGACCTCCCCCACTGTGTATACCAGCCCCAATCCTCCAGATTACTCATAGTTAGCGCTGTTACTGCCTTGAGCAATAAGAAGAAACAAATCCGTGTGTACTCATCCTCGGTTGCTTGAGTAGCAGACCCGTGCGCTCAATCTTTTATTTGTACCTTTGACACATTAACTTTTACTCACTAGTTCCAGTAAAGTAGTTAGTATGTTGTTTAGACTCAAATAAATGCCTTATTTTCTGTAGAATTAATACAATATAAGGATAAGAAAATAATCTAGCATTGAGCTAAAACAACACTGCAAAAAATCCTTTAGAGGGACAAGAAACATCTTCTCATGAACACTTTAAGGATTTATATTTCTTACACATTCATTTACGACCAAAATGTTCAATATATTTATATACCTGATTTTGGGAGCCACGTTATTTAGGTTGATGTCCCTCTGCCATGTTTTACATTTGGATCAATGAAGTGGTTCAACTTGCGCAGGCTCGTTTCTTAATGTCTGTGAGCAGTGAGTCATATTGACGGTTTGCTCACTGCTGAAATTCGTTTCTCAAAAAGAAAATGCAGCACAAAAAAAAAAAAATCGCATTCTCAAAAACAAAAATCACACATACAGTTTTATATTGTTTTATTCTTTAATTACGAAATCCATGTATTTTTTGTTTTGTTTTTATATTATCTTAAATCAGGAAGTAATATAATTTTGTTTATGCACAAATAACCAATAAATATGCAGAATTTTTTGTAGACAGCGACGTCTTTATTGACTGTAACTTACCCCATATTGAACGCGTCTTCAGGTACACTTGGCAAGCGGTTGCATGGTGTGTTAAATATGTTACATGTGTATTCATCGCCTGTGTGCTGGCGAGGGTCGTGGCGTCTCCAGGACTGCGTTTTGGCAAACCTGAATAAGGAGCAGTCGCTTAAAGGACTTCTCACTCTCAAAATCCACTTTTTTTTGCTGATAAACGGTTATAACATGAGTGTCCCTCATTCGTGTGGTCTCATATCCTTGTAATCAATATTGTCTCTTTTGGTGCAATTAGTTGAAAGTTAGACTTTCTGCCTAAAACCGTCCGTTGAGGGCGCATCTGCTGGCGACCTGTATAACTACATTTGAATTTTGCATCTTGGCGCCAACATGCACAGATGTTGGACCTGACGTCAGCAGCCCCCCGCCCAGAGCCATGTAAACGGCCAGGGTCTCGTTTCACGCCCCCTTTTTCCTCCAGGCATACGCCATTTAGAAGAAGGTTTGAACAGGAAATGTGAGTACGTAAGCTTCCGGAGGAGGGGCGTGAGAACCACTTTAAGTGCACTGTTGGGTCATGTGACACAGTATTTGCATGGACATTTGGGACTCTTCGTAGTGTGCTCATAATTATTTTATATGTATATGTGTCTATGTAGAATGGTATGTGACATCATGACCTAAGGAATGCGCCTGTATTGTAGATATGGTTTGTTTTTATTAGGATGATTGGTTTTGTAATGTGGGAGGGGCCGGCAGGCTTCATAAGGTGTCTGCCCCTTGGCAGTCGTGCCTCGGATACAGTGAAGGTAACGTGGATGCAGGAGCGAGTGTTAAAGTAAGGGGAAAAGAGACTCTATTGCAGAAGTGGTATATTTTTATTTGTAAATTCCTTTCGCCTGATGGACTTTTCAATGTGCTCTGTAAATCCGTTTTTTGTAATTTCCACTGTTTGTTTCTATGAGAGTTTTTAATTTAAAAACTTCTGAAAACGCCTTTCGACCCAGCCATGTGTTCTGGTAAAAAGACCATACGAAACAGTTCTGAATAGCTGGCAAACATTAAACTTAATGTTTGTTATAGTGAACATGATTACAAACAAACTTCTTGGCTTGTCAAAGGAGTCAAACTAAATTACGTTTTTTCTATATTTCTCTTTTGTTTTTTTTAGTGCATCGTGATATTCCTCTCACGCTCTCTCTCTCTCTCTGTCTCTCTCTCTCTTTCTATTTCCCCCTCTGTCTTGTGTCTCTCTCTGGTCTCTGTCCCTCTTTTTCTCTCTCTCCCTCTTTCTTTCTGTCTCTCTTCTTGTCTCTCTCTCATCTTCTTGTCTCTCTCTCTGTTCTCTCTCTCTCTGTTTCTCTCTGTTTCTCTCTCTCTCTCTCTCTCGCTCTGTCTCTCTCTCTTGTCTCTCTCTCTCTTTCTATACTCTGTTTCTGTCCCATCTTTTTCTCTCTCTTCTCTTTCTCTCTCTAGTCTCTTCTCTATCTCTCTCTCTCTCTCTGTCTCTCTCTCATTCTCTCTCTTCTCTCGCTGTCTCTCTCTGTTCTCTCTGTCTCTCTCTCTCTGTCTCTCTCTCTCATTCTATTTCTCTGTTTCTGTCCTCTTTTTCTCTCTCTCTCTCTTTCTCTCTCTGTCACTTCTCCTGTCTCTCTCTTCTCTGTTTCTCCTCTGGTTTCTCTCCTGTTCTCTCTCACTCTCTCTTGTCTCTCTCTCTCTGTCTCTCACTCTCTTTCTAATTTCTCGTTTCTGTCCCTCTTTTTCTCTCTCTACTCTATCTATCTCTGTCTCTTCTCTATCTCTCTTCTCTCCTCTGTATCTCTCTCTTTTCTCTCTCTCTCTCTCTCTGTCTCTCTCTGTCTCTCTCTGTCTCTCTCTTGTCTCTCTCTCTCTCTCTCTCTCTCTTCTCTTCTCTCTGTAGGAGCAGCTGTTGGGGGTTATTGATGACCTTCATTAGAATGCTGCCGCGGCCGGTCGGGGGTGACTTTGAAGGACTTCCAAATGCAATACGGCACCAACTCCACCAGTTGCTCGGTGCAAGAAGCGCCAAACGGATCTCCAATCGGTTTCGCTTCAAGGAAGGAGAGAAGGAAACGGTGAAGAGTAGAGAGGTATCATCGTGAGGTTCCTAAACGTTCCAGCGTTGGATGAAATATCAGGTTGTTTTTTTGAAAAGGGTTCGGTCATTCAGATCCATTCAATTCATGTATTTTTGTTTCACAGCAGTTTGTGGCCTGTCTTACCACAACATCATACCTATTTCATTTCATGCTGAGGTCTGGATTTTCTCCACTGGCCCCATGAACAGGTGGGAGGGTTAAGCTCTCTTTTGCAGATTTTGAAACGATTGGATCTGTGTTTAGGTGCTGAGTGAGTCAATACCATTTAGCATTTGGACTAGCTTGTATGCATTTAGCTAGGCTTTAGCCATCTCGTAGCCGTGGGGAGTTGAGCAACAACATTCTTGCAAGCAATGGACTTTTGCTAAACATTCCTTTTGCTCCGGCTCAGTTTCTTGATCTTTGGAGCTGAACAGAAAGGTTATTTTACTATCGCAATCTTGCTAATGTTAAAGACAACCATAAATTTGCCGCTAACTCTTGACATCCCCGACACCTCCCTCACTACAAAACCCGCCTCCCCTGCTCTCTGATTGCGGAGTGGATTCAACCGACGGAAACTGCAGCCCCGAGGATCAGACCCAGACGTTACATGTAGGAAATGATTATCGACCGGAGTTTTTTGTAATATTCATACTGTTTTATATTCTTTTGTTGATAAGTTCATTCATGTCATTGAATGTTGAACGCCCAGGATGAGGACTGAGGCAGCTCCCATGGTGAGTCCAGGCCGGGGGAAGGGAACAAGGTCCACAGGGGCCTATGGAGGAGGCGGGGTCAGGGGCGAATCAGACAAGGGACCACCTCTGCGTAGGCACAACCAGGCCCCAAAACATCTGCCTGTTGCCAAACTTGTGCCGCGTAAAGCTAACATCATATAAGGGCTCATTGTTCCTGTAATCCCAGGGTGCTGTCTTTATCTTGTATATCAGCGGCAGCAGCTGCATTTCCAAAGCTTCATTAGACAATAATGCACATCATGAAATGAGACTTTACACGTGACCATAATCATAAATACTGCGACAAATATGGCATTATGTGCTCGTGAACGGTATTTTCCAGAAACGACATAAGAAATTACAATTTTGTGTTGGTATTAAATCTGTCATAAATTCGAGGGAGCATGTTTATTAATGAGTCTTCCAGCTTTAATTTGTTTACTAAAATCAGAGCTACATTTTAAAATCTAAGGTTAGTTCTGGGAGTTTGCAAGGCAAGGCAATGCAAGTTTATTTATATAGCACATTGCATACACAAGCAAATCAAAGTGTATGAACAAAATAGAAAGCTTTAATATCATAAACTAGAAACGTGCACTGGCTGACGCCCTTGCGATTGACTGCGGAAACAGATCTAATGTGGGAATCTGCTAATAAAAATCCGTGAAATCCTTTAAAAGGCCTTGAAAACTGTTATAATACTACTGATAGATATTTGATAACTCCTGAAGTCCTTGAAATTGTTGAAACCTTTAACTCCTGAAATCCTTGAAACTGTTGAAAAAAATTGAATCTCCTGAAATCCTGAAACTTTTTTAAACCTGGAAAATGTTGAAATCTCTGAAATTCCTTGAACCTCTGATATCCTTGAAAAATGGTTAAATTCTCCAACAAACAATCAACCACCAACAACCCACAAAACCACCACCACCCCAACAACCAACACACCCTTTTATTTTAAACAGTTGAAAATCCATTGCTAAACTACTGAATGTATTGAAAGGTCTCCTGAAAACTGAAATCCCTTGAAAATCAATTCTTGTTCCTGTAATAAGGAAACCTGGTCTGTGGTCCATATCTGGAGGTGGTCGGAGTCTTTTTTTTTTTTTTTTTTTTCCTTTGGGTCTTGGTATGGTGGTATAATGCAAACCTATTAGGGTGGCATTATACTGGTTTACATGGAAAATCCCTTATTAGGTTGCAATATACTGGGTTTAAATGGAAAAATCCCTATTAGGTTGCATGTATACTGGTTTTCCTGTACAAATCCCTTTTAAGTTGCTTTATACTGGTTTACATGTAAAAACCCCTATTAGGTTACATTATATTGGTTTACATGTAAAAACCCCTATTATAGTTCCATCCTACTGGTTTACATGTTAAAAAACCCTATTAAGTTGCATTTGACTGGTTTTACATGAAAAAAACCTATTAAGTTGCAATTATACTTGGTTACATGGAAAAATCCTATTTAAGTTGCTAATATGGTTTAACATGGAAAAATCCCTATTAAGTTGCATTATCTGGTTTTACATGAAAAAAACCCTATTAAGTTGCATTCTACTGGTATTACATGGAAAAATCCCTATTAAGTTGCATTATACTGGTTACATGGATAAAAACTCCCTATTAAGTTGCATTATATGGTTTACATGGAAAAAAACCCTATTAAGTTGCATTATTATGGTTTACATGGAAAAAAAACCCTATTAAGTTTGCATTATACTGGTTCACATGAAAAACAAACCTATTAGTTGAATTATACTGGTTTACATGGAAAAATCCCTATTAAGTTGCATTATACTGGTTTTCATGGAAAAATATCCCCATTAAGTTGCATTATACTGGTTTACATGGAAAAATCCCTATTAAGTTGCATTATACTGGTTTACATGGAAAAATCCCTATTAAGTTGCATTATACTGGTTTACATGGCAAAATCCCTATTAAGTTGCATTTATACTGGTTTACATGGAAAAATCCCTATTAAGTTGCATTATACTGGTTTACATGGAAAAACCCTATTAAGTTGCATTATACTGGTTTACATGGTAAAAACCCTATTAAGTTGCATTATACTGGTTTACATGTAAAAAAAACCCTATTAAGTTGCATTATATACTGGTTTACATGTAAAAAATCACCTATTAAGTTGCATTATACTGGTTTACATGGAAAAACCATATTAAGTTGCATTATACTGGTTTACATGAAAAAAACCTATTAAGTTGCATTATACTGGTTTACATGGAAAAATCCCTATTAAGTTGCATAATACTGGTTTACATGGAAAAATCCCCATTAAGTTGCATTATACTGGTTTACATGGAAAAAACCCTATTAAGTTGCATTATACTGGTTTACATGGAAAAATCCCTATTAAGTTGCATTGTAATGGTTTACATGGAAAAAACCCTATTAAGTTGCATTATACTGGTTTACATGGAAAAATCCCTATTAAGTTGCATTATACTGGTTTACATGGAAAAAACCCTATTAAGTTGCATTATACTGGTTTACATGGAAAAATCCCCATTATGTTGCATTATACTGGTTTACATGGAAAAATCCCTATTAAGTTGCATTATACTGGTTTACATGGAAAAATCCCTATTAAGTTGCATTATACTGGTTTACATGAAAAAAAACCCTATTAAGTTGCATTATACTGGTTTACATGGAAAAATCCCTATTAAGTTGCATTATACTGGTTTACATGGAAAAATCCCTATTAAGTTGCATTATACTGGTTTACATGGAAAAAAAAACCCTATTAAGTTGCATTATTCTGGTTTACATGGAAAAATCCCTATTAAGTTGCATTATACTGGTTTACATGTTTGGAAAAAGAAGCCGCGGGGGAGGAACCGCATGAAGTAACAGCAGAAAGCGGCCGCCCGCTTTTAATGTGCGGACCTCTTTACCGCTGGGTTAGGGTTAGGGCCACTTTACCGCGGTACAAGAACAGAGAGGGCGAGCCGCAAGAAATGCGCTCCACTTCTGCTGAGGAGGGAGCCCACCAAGCCCATCACTGTGTCACTACGTGAGTAAAAATACGCAAGCCTCCTTTTTTGGGCTGGACAGTGCAGCTCAGTAGTGGCGCGAGTCTCTGCGTTACTCCGTATCAAGGAAGTACATGCTCATTGACGGGAAGGACTGTTGAGGTGGGGGGTCGCGGGGGAGCAGCGCATTTATGATGGGGTCGCGGGCTAAAAACTTTGGGAACCCCTGCGCTAAGGGACGTAGCACCATGACGTAGAATTAATAGTTACCTATGTAACTTAAGTTCTACGAATAGGTGCGTAGTCCCTTAGCTACGAGCCCATCAGGCCACCCTACTCCTCAAACAGTGAAAACCAAAGGATATAATGTTTAAAAGAAAGTTCAGTGGCAGTTACAAACATTACACAGATGTCTTTGTACAGCAACTTTAAAAAGAGGAAAAGAGGTTAAAGAGCGAATAGAGGCCGGAAGGAGATTCCAGTCGTGTAGGAGCCATTTAGGGTTTTTGTTTTTCTGTGTGAATGTGACTAGTACATGCACGCGCATATAGTATCATGCATGGGTCCAGTGGGTGTGGTTGTCTATTCAGTGCACGCGCTCACTTCAGCTGTGTGTGTGTGTGCCTGTGTCATGGCGGTGGGGTGAGCTGGGGAAGGAACTTTCTGTTGACCGCATGTTTCCATCAATTAAAATATCTGCACTGTCTTAATGAGGTATCTTCATCATCATACATAGCAACATTCCAAGTAAGTGCCTGATTCATTTCTACTCTCCGCAATAAACTTCATTATACTGTGCAATATCTCCGACTGCGCGTCATCAGTGTCTGCTCCCTTGCTTAGCCCGCCGTGGCGTCATGGATTAAGTTTGCCCTCCCATACGCCACTATAAGTCGTATGAGCTTTATATTGGAAAGCATATTCGCCAAGTTCTTTTTTCACACGAGGAGTGTGACAGAAAAGCTGGTTTGTGTGACGAAGATTATAAGAGGAATTAAAAGGGGTTAAATATTGCTTTAAATAAAGAGGGTAATCCAAAAAATAACATTTATAAATGAAAAACAACCAGTGAGAGTGACGTCTTTGGGACAGAGAGAGCCAGGACAGCTGCTGGTACATGTCACAGTGATGGGCCCTGTAGGGGCATACCTACATGGTTTTCAGCTTTTAACTCATTGAATGCCAGCCTATTTCAGAACAGGTACTCCCACAGTGCCAGCCATTTCTGATGATTTTTACTGATTTTTCAAGACCCACAGAATATTGTGTACTATGACTATCTGAAATCCAACACCAGATTCTAAAAGAATGGACTGTCTACTTTCCTCAGCAAAAAGAATTTTGTTTATAGCTTTTTTCGTTCCCCTGTAATCCTCCGTCGAGTAGAGGGAAGTTTTACTGAAATCACCAGAAATCACCAGAAAGTTGAGAAAAAAGAGGCACAACATGTGCACCTACATGTTTTCAAACCATTCAGAGAGCAATGCTGCCACCTGCTGGCTCGATAAAATATGGTCTCAAGTCATCCCCATACATATTAGATACAATAGACATCTGGGAACGTGAAAATAGCGAAAAAGGCAATTTGACGGATTAATCCGTCAATGGCACACGACGTTACTATTTGCTTTGACGTATTTGTGAGTCAATGGGACACAATGAGTTAACCAGGTTGTATTTTGTCCTGTTTCTTTTTATTTGTTTTATTTGAGTGTTAATCCATACATTTGTCACTTGAAAAACAGTTTCACATTCTAAAACATGAAACGTCAAAATAAATGGTCAGTGTTGCATTTAAGCACAGTGGCTCTTTCCCTTTCCTCCCAGTAGATAGGAGTCCTGCTTATACTGTATAAATATCAACCAATATTTGTATTTATTAAGCATCTTTCATGGACCTGGTAAGAGCTGCACGATCAATTGCTGTTGGAGACAAAATGTAAGCTTAGGGTTTGCCATTAGAGGGGAGTATAGAACCACAGTAGGGCAGGTGTTTACACTGATGAGACTTGTCAGGGCATGCTACCGGGAAGAAGCAACAGTCTTTTATCGTTTGTTTGGGATTGTTCTTTGGGCACTGATTTTTAAGATTTTCACGCTAACATGCATGCATTCAATGGACAGTTTTAACCAATCATGAAATAAAATGTGAACGCTTTTAAACTGAACAAACGACTGGAGACACTTTCTTACCATCAACAACGCGTCAGAGGTAATTTCTGGTAGCAAGTAGCGTCCTGTTAAAGCCAAGGGACAGGACACTACAATTGCAATTGAACCAAAATCCTAGCAAATTGCAAATACTGAAATTTTATTTCCTGTTTTTTTCGAACTGTTTGATTCTCTGATCGGTTGTTTGTTTAGACAAATTGTAGATTATCACTCTTAGGTCTGGTTCACTTTAAATAGGCCCATTCTGGTTCATTTGGGGCAAAAAGTATTTATTTGTGGATGTACAACCACAAACGGTCACATCATGCGTTTCCAACCCTTTTTCCACAGAGAGCTACTTTTTTTTGAACAAAAATAAATGGCTGCTACTCCTTTCTCGCTTATGAAGAAAGTCCCCTCAAAATTGTGCATAAGGTAATCACTTCACACGCTTTTCCAAATGGAACTCTCTTGAAGTTATTTTCAATGACCTTTTAAGCATACAGGACATCAAAAAACGTCAATGTTGGTCAGAAATATCACAATTGGATTTTTTTTGTGCCAAAATCATGTACCCCTGGGTGGCCATTTCCATTAGTCAAAGCAAAGGAAGGTTTCTGCTAAGAAGTACAGATGATGGTTGAGAAACCTTCCTTTGCTTTTACCAATAGAGAAGACTACTGACCATGTAGACTGGTAGATAGGTGTGGAGTATGGATTTGGACAGGAATAGAAGTGGCACAGCCTGTTGTTTAACATATGTGCTTTGTTTGTGCAGGGAAGTCCCCATGAAGGAGGCCAAAGAGTTTGCAGAATCCATATCAGCAATCTTTATTGAGACAAGTGCGAGAAACAGCGTCAATATTGAAGCACTCTTTCAGAAAATCAGTATGTCATATTTTTATTATGTCCAAAGTTCTGCTCTACTGTTTTAATGCCATGTCCTTTTTAAATTATATTATTGTCACGTTATTACAACCTTTCCGAATATTGAATTCAGTGAATTTACCAGGCATACGGGTGTTGAGTTTTGAGTGTAACATTTCATTAATGAGTGTTTGCAAGGGACTCAATCAGCAGCTTTAATTTGGAAAAATCATTTATTTATTGGCGTCAGATTTTCACATTTACCACATTGAAACGGAAACTAAACCTGGATCTACAGCCTGTCCGTCCGTGGGAGCAGATCTCTCTCTCAACATGGGCCTCCCCAAGGTTTATCACTTTTTCCCACCGTTTTCTTTTTGATTTGTTCCTTTGCAGATGCAGAAGGGTCTTAAGAACAGTGATGATCTGAGACATATAAGCGCATTTAGTAGGGGTGTAACGATACGTTTTTAGAAAGATACGATCCGTATCAATATGAGAGCAAATGATTCCAATAAAAAACGATATCTTTATTTTTAAAACGATACAATTTGATACGATACAGAAGATTTAACGCTATATCGATACAGTAATAGTTTTTTTTCTGTAAATAAACTTTTTACAGTAATTCAAACTTAGAAATCTAACTCAGATGTAAAGTGCTGAACTAGAAATACAACTTTTTTACAAATTTAACAAAAATATTCATTTTGCCCAAGAGCTAACTTATAAATAACTCACATGAATAAAAAAATAAATAAAACAAATGTATAACAATGCAGTGCTGTAATGTTTTACAGCACCACCAAAGTGTTTAAAATTAAATAATATATTTTTTATTTCTATAGTGGTTAAATGAGATTGAATCTGAAGCTGGATTTGATGGAAATAAGTCCAGACTTAACAAGGACTATTTTGTTATTCCAATTGATTATTTTCTTAATATTAAATAAACACAATACTGTTAATTTAAAGTTCTTGATATAGTATTACTAAGTTTTTTATGTTGTCATGACAGGTGGTCCAAAACTTTTGTTGAGCAGTGAGATACATGAATATGAGTCAATGGTGTAGGTTTGGTTCCAATCTTGGTGGGGACATTCACTACGACCTGAGTCTACACCCATTGACACGGGGTCCAGAGTTTCTCCCCCAGAATTTGTTGTGTAATCACACACTATATTTGCAATAGTGTGTTGCCTTCTATACTAAACTCAGCTGTAGACTGAATGAGAAGCAGTTAAGGATTTTTTCTAATAGTTAAAACAAAATCAATTGGATCAGAGCTTCTGAGTTTTGTGTTGCGTTCATTCTAACTTTGTCCACAAGATGGCTTAAATGTTTATAGTAAATAAGATAGTAAATATATCCTGTATTCAGGATCAGGCTGATATGGTGAACAACCTATCTCAAATATGCTGTCGCTGGCACTTTCTTGAGAGTGACTCTCATTGGCTGCCTCCTAAATAGCAAATACACTGTTATGAAACTTTAAAAAATCCCATATTTTATCTTAATAATTCCAGCCTCACCTGAAGCCCAGCTTCGATATCTGCCTGCACTACATCTTCCCTGAATACCTGAGTTCCCTATAATAAATAAAACACATGTAGTACATTAAACAAATCAGATCTAATCATATACAAAATAAAACCACCAACAAAACCAAATAAATACTTTCAACCTCACCTGAAGCCCTGAAGGTCCAGCCACTTCCTCATCCTCTACCAGCACTGCACATTCCCTGTTTGTCTGACTTTCCTTTATGGTATTAATAAAAACACACATTCTACATTGAATAAAATGAAACCTAGGCATGGTACACCAGTCGCTAAATATCTCATGAAACTAGAATTGGTTGATGGGTCTAAGATTTTAACTGCTTAATCCTAACCTCACCTGGAGTCCTGTCTTGTCCTTGTCTTTATCTCCTTCTTGAATTTTCATTATATCTCTCAGAATGTTTGCATCATTATAGTAGTAAAATATGTTGTAATTGGCATAGGTAATTTCCAACCAAATGATGTTCTTTAACTTTAGTATGATTCTATACTGACTTAAACCTAATCCAAATCTATAGCCCTCACCTGAGGCTCTAACAGTTCAGGAACTGCTCTCGATACTTGAAATAAATCATGCTCTGATCTTTCAATTTCCTATAATAAATAAAAACAGAGGAGAAAATATTGAATTAGAATGAGTAGCTCACTACATTGTTTGACATATACGATCAATCTCTAAAAACAATTCATAGTCCCATGCATACCTACAACATTCCAACCTCACCTGATGCACTGAAGGGCCTGTTGCTTCTACCTCAACATTCTCTATCTCCCTATTTTGTTCTCTCTTGTTGGTAGAGTTTCCTATGTATGTTAACAGAAGATTAATCATCACAAATCATAATTTGCTATTACTTGTGCTTTCTCTTACTTACTTTCCAACTGTTAAAAAAGCTCCTGATATATTTTATCTTTTTTTGTGGAGGTGGCATTTTTTCTAAATTATATAAGAAGGTATAGACAATCAAAAACAGACATTCATATACATGAACTGCAGAATCATTTATATAACTTGGCCAATGTCAAAAGTTACATAGTATTTCTCAATATAATGAGTTAACAAGAGTTTGGCAATAAGTAACAGTGTGGATGTTTCTATATTTTCTTTTTTATTTATTCCACTCACAACCCAAAAAGGCAAGTAATGACTCACAGGGCTCTTAAGTATGCAAAATAAAAACTTAAATGACCTGTTGTGGTGTGTTTTGCGCACAACCAGCATGCATCGTTAACGCAATGGAAAATTTAGGTATCCGAGCTTTAATTTCGGGAGCGCTGGTTGCGCTTTGGGAAGAGTCAGGGGAGAGACATGTCAGAGACACAGGGGAGAAACGGGGGAGATACGAGGGAGACCCGCACTTGCAACATGGTTCTGTCTGCATATGGTCCGAGCTCGGTACCATGTTAGAGCTGTGCTTTCACTGAGCGCCGCGGCTGTCATTACAAAGCGGCAGCAGCTGCACCAGGACGTGCACATTCGAGTGCATCGCTTGAATGTGCTTAGAGCAAATAACAGCAAGTGCCCGCTGTCACACATTTCACAGAAATTACATTATCAGCAGATAAAGGTTGTAAATCGTGGATCCGTGGAATATTTTTATCCCTAGTTTATCCTGATTCACACAACACACCCACTTATACATTTTGGATAGTAAGAGCACAATAAGTATTTTTTCAGCCTTTCAACCAACCTGTTTCTTTATTGGAGCCAGTTCTGTTCTGTCTCTGTGCCGTGTGAGCTCCTCGGAACATTAAACAGTGCGCTGACAGATTAGAAATAACGTAAGTACTTTGAATGGTAATAGATCTACAGTACTTTCCTCTGATTACTCACGTGCTACAACGCTCAGGGAACAAAAAAAAAACACTTGCTTCACGCTGGCTAACTTTTAAAAATTAAACAGTTGCTCAGTGCTTCAGTTTGGCGCTGAAGAAGACAGCCAATCACTGCAGAGAACGAAACGGGTCACGTGCTGCTGCTGCTGCTGTTGCTCTGGAGGCGAGGAGGAGTATGGAGGACCAAAAATGACTAAAGTATAAATAAATAAATAAATAAATAAATACAGGAATATATTAATAAATACATTCATTTTGGACAATAAAAACTAAATATTTACATTGATGTGTTAAATATTACTATGAAATCAAATAAATATACTTTTATTTAGGTTATTTATCAATATCTACATTTTTTCCTTTATTTATTTATCCATTTATTGCATATATTTATTTATGTATTTCTACATTTCTTCATTTATTTATTTATGTATTTCTACTAGGGCTGTCCAAAATAGCGCGTTATTAACGCGTTAACGCAAATCAATATTAACGCCGTCTTTTTTTATCGCGCGATAAAAAAAAAAAAAAAAAAAAAAAAATTTTTTTTTTTTTACTTTTTATTGCAGACAAACACATATACAGAAAAAAAAAATAGAAACAAAGAAAAGGACTAGTTCAGATACATTGTAGACAGAGATTACAAACAATATGTAGTTGGAGATACAGGGGGCCAAAGAAGAAACCCAGAAGGGCACATAGGAGGGGGGGGGGGGGGGGCATGAAGTGGGAGATGGGGGGAGGGGTTAATAAAAAAGGCAATACAAGCAAACAGTATACAGTCATAGATATACCGAAGGTAAACAGAGAAACAGCATAGAGTATTTACATGAACAAATTTACAAAATATTTACAGATTGTTTATCATCATCATAATGACACCATGATGTTTCTATACAGTCTATGGTCTATACCCACACATACACACACACACACACATTGAAGGGGCTTTTTGTTACCAATTATTTATTTTGTCATCCATTTATTGATGATTTTGCATCAAATGTTAGTGTGTAATATAACACTACACATTGTTTTCAATAAAAAAAAGCAATTGCACACAGCACGCAAATGTGTGACTAATTTGCGATTAATCGCGAGTTAACTATGAAATTCATGCGATTAATCGCGATTAAATATTTTAATCGTTGGACAGCACTAATTTCTACATTTCTTCATTTATTTATTTATGTATTTCTACATTTCTTCATTTATTTATGTATTTCTGTGTCGCTACATTTCTTCATTTATCTATTTATGTATTTCTACATTTCTTCATTTATTTATTTATGTATTTCTACATTTCTTCATTTATTTATTTATGCATTTCTACATTTCTTCATTTATTTATTTATGTATTTCTGTGTTGTTGTATGCTAATTAGGTGGGCGGTGCTGAACTCAATGATTGGTGGGCAGTAGGGCAACCAGACAGAAGCAAAGTTAAGCCTAGCGTACATCGACAGAGAAACTGGGGACAACTAGTTGCAAGGCTGCTTTTGGCAACTGAGAGGAGATGGTGGGAGATGATCAGTTGCCGAAATCGGTCGATGTGAGCGCTCTTACAACTGGAGATGAACAGTCGGTCTCCAGTTTCAGTCAGTTGCCCGTGTTCTACTTTTCGGCAACTAGTTGTCCTCAGTTTTCGAGATATGACCCGATGTGCGCGCTCCATGCGCTGCTCCGACAACGTGTGTGTATTGCGTGTATTGCGAGCCTGCAACAGTTTATGTCAGAAAACACACTGTAGTTGAGGCCAGTTGCTGTCGATGTACGCGCTGTTATTCCCGAGACTGGTCTGCTACTGGGAGTTGCCCGTTTTCGTCAGATTGTCGATGTGTGCGGGGCAGCAACTCATATGCGACGGATCTAATCAGTTGCCAGTCTGATGTACGCTAGGCTTTAGCCTTCTCGGTTTGTGAGAGGATGTGAAGCTGCTGTATAGCTTGTTGAAGAGCGTCCAGCACAGTTGCATCAAAGTCTACCTCTGGGTCAGCACTGTGATGAACTAAAACATTAGTCTTTCCAGCCGAAAGAGTAGATAGTCCTCAGGTGCATTATGCTCAACATCATTAACATCATTTGCTAATGCTCTTAATTGATGAGCAATGGCTCCTAAAAAACTTACATTCGAAACTGCCATCATACCACACAAAAGTGCACAGAGGATCTCAAGCTAGAGGCAGGAATGATCGAGACCAGAGTTCACGCAATCCTAACCAATCCTGTTCTAGATTGAGTTCAGCACCGCCCATCTAATTAGCATACAGGAACACAGAAATACATAAATAAATAAATGAAGAAATGTAGAAATACATAAATAAATAAATGAAGAAATGTAGAAATACATAAATAAATAAATGAAGAAATGTAGAAATACATGAATAAATAAATGAAGAAATGTAGAAATACATAAATAAATAAATGAAGAAATGTTGAAATACATAAATAAATAAATGAAGAAATGTTGAAATACATAAATAAATAAATGAAGAAATGTAGAAATACATAAATAAATAAATGAAGAAATGTAGAAATACATAAATAAATATATGCAATAAATGGATAAATAAATAAAGGAAAAAATGTAGATATTGATAAATAACCTAAATAAAAGTATATTTATTTGATTTCAGAGTAATATTTAGCATATCAATGTAAATATTTAGTTTTTATTGTCCAAAATGAATGTATTTATTAATATATTCCTGTATTTATTTATTTATTTATACTTTAGTCATTTTTGGTCCTCCATAGAGGAGGCGCGACGTGTGCACAAACGGAAGACATGTGTCCCGGACCGTCCGGGTCACGGGACATCATGTCATTTTGGTGGGGACTTTTTAGTCCTCACCAAATATTGGTGGGGACATGTCCCCATGGTCCCCACGCAAACCTACGCCCTTGATATGAGTACATTCTAGTGCTACATATTGAACCCCTTAGCTCGTATAGAACTTTGAAAATAGCAGCAACACCTTTTTGGTCTCTGCTCTTGCACCGCAGTTACTGTTTTTGGATGCTGTTCCCTTGGGTGACTCTTCTGCTTTGCCAGCGATGCCGTAGCGTTGGTACAGATGCGAAGAGAAGCTCTACAGAGCCAATCGTTTTGTCAAGATTGCCCACCGACTGTATCTCCTGACTGACGAACGCAAATTTGGAGGTTTAGAAGCCTCACTGCTACCGCTGCTACCATTATCCATGTTGTTGTTATTGCGAGCTTGTGACGTAAATTTACAGCGCCACTGCAAAGGCTTGTTGATGACACGGGAGAAAAACAAATTCAATTTGAAGTAGCCGGCGGGCTCTGATGCTAACAGAGTTTAGCTAGCGGCTTCTTGTGTAAAGATCTTCTCCAATAATGCAGCTTTGCAGCGTGTCTGTGTTCAGAGACCTTCCAGAGACTTTATATAAACATTAGTATGTGTTCAAGGAGGTGGGCAATAAGTTTATTCTATTATTAAACGGTACTTCTGCATCGGCGAACACACTCGAAGCAGTTGCATAAAGTCACGGGAGCATGAAAACTCACATGTTAACAAGCACTATATCCCCCATTGTCAACCCTGGTTTAGTCCTGATGTAGCTCCTGTTTTGGCTGTTTACGAGTATTTTCAGTCTGCTCGCTCAGACCGCTAATGTCCCCGTGACCACTTTGCGGCTCTCTGATTGGTTGCTGCACGAACGTTCCGAGGAAAGGTTGAGCAAAATTCATCTTCTGCGTTCCTCCCCTTCAACTTCCCAGCGCGGTCCATGCGTGCATTCCGAAACGCTCGTGCGTTTTGACGCTCGAACGGGTGTCACCATTGACTTTGCATTGAAAGCCGACGCAACGCATGATCTGGTCTGAACGCGGCATAACATTCAGACAACAAAGACTTTATAATTCCATTGCACGTTGTGACTATTATTTAATGTAAGAAATATATTGATACAATCGTCATTTTTACATTTAAAACGATGTCGTGTCAATGTGCGGCTAGGATCGAGGTCAAATAGCTCAGCGCCGATCGATGTAGCTGGATCGCAGGGGAGACACATCGATACATTGATTAAATAGATGTATCGTTACACCCCTAGCATTTAGTATTTATTGTCTATGAACATTGGCTAGATCAAGACCAAAGCTATTCGCTGTCATAGTCCGTAACAGATAGAAAGCCAACATTTTAACCATTGTAATTATTAGTTAAGAACAAATTAGAACAAATAAAGTTGCTTATAACTTCTTGCATTTAAAGCTGGGGTACTTAACTTTCAAAACTCAAAAAATGTGAAAAGTAGTGATGGAACCAAAGTATTTTGAACTACATTGTTAGATGGATTTGAATCAAAGACTGTATATATTACCGGACGTAGTCACGCCTGTCTTCGCCGTTCTAACTAATGGGCCAAAAAATTGGCTCTCATGGAGTGATTCAAAATGGCCGCGGGGGCTGGAAAATGTAAAAAAACGCATCTGCGCATGTGTCAGCCGGCACGAGCTCCATTCATTTAAACGAGTGACTTCAAAAATTCACAGCGAGTAAACTAGAGTGGTCCAAAAAAATTCACTCCCCTCAGCATTGACACACATGTGGAATGGAGCCCCCACTGATTTGAACACTTTTGTTCACTAGTTTAAATGGTACCCTAGCTTTAAGTACATAACAAAACAAAATGCAATTTATTTTTGTATATCCCTAAATCACAACAGCAGTTGTCTTTATAAAGATCAGAGAATCATGTTCAATGCTGTTCAAACACAGGAAATTCAATAAAAACAAAAATTTACAAAATTTACAAAACAAAAAATCATCCGGTTTTTAGGGGGCGGATGATCATTGTCTATAAATAACAATAAATGTCCATAAAGGTTCTTAAAGGACAACTCACCCTCAAATCCACTTTTTTTTGCTGATAAACGGTATGAGTGTCCAATAGTGTTGTCTACATATCCTGGTTATAATCTTGTCACTTTGGTGCAAATTAGTTGAAAGTTAGACTTTCTGCCTAAAACCGTCTGTGAGGCGCCATCTGCTGGCGACCTGTATTACTACATTTGAATTTTGAATCTGGCGCCAACACTGGCACAGAAGTTGGACCTGACGTCTGCAAGTTGGACCTGACGTCAGCAGCCCCCCGCCCAGAGCAATGTAAACGGCCCAGTCTCGTTCACGCCCCCTTTAGTCCTCCAGGCTACGCCCATTTAGAGGAAGATTTGAACAGGAAATGTGAGTGACGTAAGCTCCGAGGAGCGGGGGTGAGAACCACTTTAAATTTCTTGGATCATCGCCACTGTCCTTAGACCCTCCAGCTTCAGCAAGGAACCACTCAAAAAACCCAGTTGGAGAAATATTAGAAAACAAATATTCTGATATAAATCTATACCTTTAAGTGCCACCTGTGTCACATTCTTAGCCATGAATTTCCACAATTACGATCCATACAAACAAGTAAATAAAGCATATTGTTGGTTCTTGAATACATGTTCTTCAACGCTCACTGTACCTATTTGTGTCCTTGTTTCAGGTAAGCAGATTCCGCCATTGGAAAATACAGAGGTGGAGAGCAACGAGTCTTTTAAACTGTCTGGAACGCTTCCTGCTCCAGCCAGAAGGTGCTGCTAGTTGCAGCGCCAGAGACCACAATAAACCATCACTTCTCCCCATTCAGTGCACCACATATGTACGCAACAGGGACAGACGAAGAGAAGCCAATTAGAATTAGAGCTAGATCCCTCCACGTTAAAATCAGGAACTTCCGGTACAAACATGTGACTCCGACTTTTCTAACAAAAACCTACTGTCTCAGTCCTGGAATAGTGTGATGTCATTATACTATGACATCACACTCAGAGCAGTTTTCTGTCTTTTAAAACAAATGTACTGTACAAGTTTTGGCCATTTCTAAAGTAAAATCCATAGACCATTTATTAGGGGTGGATCGACTGAGTGCTGACGTCACCATAGTGTTGGCCTTAATGGGGAAGAAGCCAATTTGAACGTAAGCTGGCTATAGTCAATTTCCTTATACGGGTATTTGTTTTATCAGCGTTAGCTTCGCACCGTAACAGGAATGGACGTGTTGCTAATACGGTTGCTAAGGCAAGCTGGAGTTTCCCCCGCGAAAGACGGCATCAGATTTGTGTGATTCGGGCGAGAATGCCGAGTGGTTGTCTTCCCAGAAGGAAGATCATGGGTTCTCACCATGCCGACGTAGGCTTTCTGTCGGTACTCCAGTTTCCCTTTCCACTGAAGACATGTACAAAAAGCCAAAATCCCCCAGCTCTGGTCCTGACCAAGCCAAGCATCAACTTCTCAAGATGGTTCCCCAAATGCTGCACTACAAAATGTGCAGGTCTACAACAGATACACACAGGATATTAAAAAATAATGAAAAATATTGGCAAAGTTCACAAATATGGTATTATTTTTATTCATACATATATTGATAGGTGTGCAATAGTAGCTTACCGATCAGCGTGTTGCTGAGTAGAAAGGAGCTAGATAGGGACGAAAGCGAGCCCAGTTTGTTGCACTGACGTGTGAATTAATAGAAAACCAAGTGTACAGGTACAGGATGAAAAGGGACACAAAAATCCCAACAAATCTGTTAGCTGAAGCCGTCTTAAAACAAAGGAAGGTTGCTCACCCATCATCTGTGCATCAGTTAGCAGGTTTAACTGAGGTACAGATGATGGGTGAGCAACCTTCCTTTGTTTTGACTAATCCTTGTACGACTGAGAGCTTACACAAACTTCCACCTCTGCTGGTGGAATGCCTGTAGTACGTCACATTTTCAGCCCATATCCTGCAATTTATGACAGAGTTAGAGGCTTTCTTCATAACAATAATGATAGAAAAAGATAACTGGATTCATACAATTTCGTTGTATAATTTCAAAAGGTAATTGTGTTTACACCTCACAATTTAAGTTTACTGAATACTTGAATAGGTTGTGTTTATGTTTTAGAATAATGAGGGGAGGAGGGGAGCTGCCACCCAATGCTCATAGCACCAGTCCCTCGCTGATCTTCTGCAGGTGGTGGGTCCATTGCCTGAGCTTCAGGCAATGTGGGGTTAAGTGTCTTGCCCAAGGACACAACGACAGCAGACATTAGTAGGAGCAGTTGGAGTAGATCCTGAGGGCCAATGCTCTACCAACTGAGCTTCTGTCGCCCCCAAGTATTGAAACATGCTATGATTTATGAAATATTCAAAAGATGAGAAAGAGGAGTTATGAAAATGTTAGTTAGAATGAGTTATGGAAGTTATGAATCAGTCAAACTATATGAAGACCTGGATGTCACAGTAAAGCCTAAAAACACCAGAATGAGTTTGAGCCCTGACACTTTCCCCCCAAACAACAGAGGTACAGTGTACTCATGCCCTGCCTACCAGATGAGGGGGTACTCAGGTTAAAGAAGGTTGGGAACCATTGCTCTTGGTGGTGCCTGTGTGTTAATGCTGATATTTAACCACAGTTGCCCTGACAAAATCTCACACAACAAACGGACATCGTTAATCTTTTACTTGCTACCCATGTACAAGGGAGAATATGTCTTGACAGACCACAGTTCAGCTCAGCCTCTCTCAGGACAGATCTGATCATATCCCGCTGTAAGGCAGTATTTCAAAGATATAAGACACACCTCCACTTCCACACAGTCACAGTTTCACAATTAGACATTTGGTATTTAGCATATCAATCAAACAGCATTCTTACCAGGCCTGGCCTGGTCCCATCTGCATACAACCCCCATTGCCCAGAAGACTACAGTAAATTTCAATACTATACGAATATTTTAGCCACATATTACTTGAATTACATATTACTACATTAAAATGATAACTTAATAACATTCCAATAACACTGTTATGAAGTCATGCGAATTGGCTCAAGAATTACAGATAAATAGCACAAAACTAAGACTATAAGTGTAACTTTAATCATTTATTATAGTTAACTAGAAAGATTTTTCAGTTCCCCTCCACCATATCAGTAAACTAAAGGATCTTTGCGGTGTCACACGAACGCAACCTATTTAAAAGTACCATTGTTTAGCCTCCAATACAGAAGCATGAATCCTTGCCACAGCATTGCACACGATGACATGTTTGGACAGTGTTAGTATGGACCACTAAATCCACGTTTGCTTCGGAAAGGCCTCATTAAATGTATATTTTCTGTCCTATCCACAAGTTTAGCTTCACATTCCAGCACGTCATGTCTTTTTCTGCGCTTTTTGCTGTACAATTGTGCATTAATCCAGTTGGAGATACGATCAGAACTGTTTATATATTACTGTTTTTTTTTATGTTTTGCTGCATTTCTACCGAGTGAATGCAAACGAAAAATTAAGGATTTTGCACACATGTGCCTAATAACATTGTAAATCAATTTCTAAAACAAGGAAAATTGTGTCACTCACAATTGTGCCCAATCAAACTTATTTCTAATATGTGCCTTAAGTATTACTGTTTGTTGTAGAGTAGTTTAGGATCATATTCTTGTAACTTTAAAAGGGACTGTACATGTGTCCTTAGATAAGAGGTCACATGTACAGATCATATTTCATTTTTCTGAGCTTCATTGACCTAGGGGAGTTAGCATTGTCCACAGTCTATACTCCGGAGGGGGTCTTTCTGTGTGCTCTAGTTTCCCTAACACTAACAGCACTAGCACTTGTATACAGTTTGTGTTTCAGTATCATGAGTCTTGTGTGGAATCATAGAGATTAAAGCTGCACTAACTGACTTTGTGAAATTTTCAAATGTGAGCGCTGGCCTCGCTCTTTCTGCTCGCCCTCCCCGCACTCACGTAGCTATCGACCCCCACTACCCCCCTCCCCCTCAGCCGCACATGTGCTGTTTACGGAACTCACGTCTCACAATATGGATTGCACATTTGAACGTGGATGGCGTAACCATAGAATGATGGAAGCGCGGAGGAACGAGACTTTCTTTTGGATGGCTGTTTCGCTGTGTAAGCAGTAACCGGTAACGAAGACAAGACAAGGCAAGTTTACAGTTAGCCTTCACCGCTTGTTTACCTCAGCTGTCTGTGCTAACGAGAGACCTGTGGATTTTCTCAAGAAACTGGCAGCCAGTGGTCCGCTGTGATTGGTCACAATCTGATCCCAAAACAAATTATCTTCCTTGTTGCACAAAAACTCCATCTAAAATAAAATGACCCGGCAGCACAAATCTGCGCTACTTATTCTTTAAAAGGACGTATATCCCAATGCATTGCATGGATCTGGATTGAATGCGTTTGTGATGAATACAAAAATAAAGTGAGGTAATGCAGCTTTAATCATTGAGTGTTACATTTTTTTGAAGAGTGAAAAGTCCATACAAGATGTTGAAATTCATAATTGTCAATGTTGTGGCTATACACCACTCAAAGACTTTTTCCCTGTTCAAAACATACAATTACATAATCCCATTTTATCCATATGCTTTTTTTCTAATAAAATAGTGCCTTAAAATATGTGTCCTTCCCACACAATTTTAACCTTTTATGCCTTTAATATCGTTGTAGTTGTAAGTGGTTTTGAATTTTTGCATGAAGTCAATATGATCTACATGAGTTTGTATTTTGTTAAATCATTAAAGTTGTAAGGCTCTATGTAATGCTTTCTTGCTATTTTTGTCTCAAGAATGTGGTTAACTTGTGAACTAAATTAGGAGTGGACTGCCCGAGTGCATATGCACATGTGTATTTCCTTGGCGGTGTTAGCTTTGCGCCTTAACGGGCAGACGTGTTGCCAGGACAGTTTGCAAGAGTTTCCTCCACAATTGAAGTTATTTGATTGGTCCTTTCTTTTATGACGAACAAGGGCCAGAGTGCGGTGAAATCCAGGGTGGCAGGCCAACCTCGAGTCATGGCCCCACTGAAGCACACTGGACCGAGCGGAGGGGGGAACGAACAGCGGCCCGCAGGAGGACAAGCCTCAGGTGTGGGATGACTGACCTGAGCCTCTTGAACGACCTTCTCCACCTTCCAATTGGCAGCACCGACTACACAATTGGGCAAGATAGATTCCTCACCCTTATCCTCAAAAGGAATGGAAAACCTGCACGAGAGAACATCAGGCTTCGTGTTTCTGGACCCTGGATGGTAGGTAAGGGTGAAGTTAAACCTTCCCAAAAAAAGTGCCCATCGAGCCTGGCGAGAGTTCAACCTGCGGGCAGAACGAAGGTAGGACAGGTTCTTATGGTCAGTCCATACCACAAAAGGCTGAGCCCTCCAGCCAGTATCTCCATTCCCTCAGAGCGAGGACCACCGCGAGCAGTCCCCGGTTGCCCACATCATAGTTCCTTTCCGCAGGGCTGAGTTGACGGGAAAGAAGGCACAGGGGTGGAGCTTGTGGTCTGAAGTGGAACGCTGAGAGAGAACTGCGCCGACACCAGAATCAGACACATAGACCTCGACGATGAACTGAGCTGTGGAATCAGGATGGGAGAGAACAGGTGCAGAACAAAGACTTTTCAAACGAACAAAAGACGCCTCTGCCTCGGGTGACCAAACAAAAGAGACCTTAACAGAGGTAAGCCTAGTCAGGGGTGCAGCGACTTTACTGTAATCCTGAATAAACCTATAAAAATTAGCAACGCCCAAAAACCTTTGGAGGAGTTTACGGCTAGTAGGTCAAGGTCACTGCCTTGATCTTGGCAGGATCAGACCTGATCTGTCCCTTCTCAATAACAAAACCAAGAAAATGAACAGTTTCTACATGAACATCACACTTCTCGGCTTTAACATAAAGTCTGTTTTCGAGAAGGCGCTGAAGAACTATTCTGACATGCTGAACATGTTCCTCATTAGTGCGGGAAAAAAAACAAAATGTCGTCAATATAAACAAAAACTAATTTGTTTAACATATCTCGTAAAACATAGTTAACCAGAGCTTGGAATACCGCTGGGGCATTGGTTAATCCAAAAGGCATAACTAAATACTCAAAATGTCCCAAGGGGGTATTAAATGCTGTCTTCCATTCATCACCCTCTTTAGTCCTGACTAAATAAGCATTGCGAAGGTCCAGCTTAGTGAAAATTGAAGCCTCATGCAGGGAGCAAAAGGCTGAGTCCAAGAGTGGGAGAGGGTACTTGTTTTTCACAGTAATGTCATTAAGGCCCCTAAAGTCAATACACGGGCGGTGTGACTTGTCCTTGTCTACAAAAAAGAAACCAGCCCCAACAGGTGAGGAAGAAGGTCGAATCAGTCCTGCCGCTAACGATTCAGTAATGTCTCCATGGCCTCTCTTTCAGGCTTAGAGAGGTTATTCAGCTTACTAGTAGGTAAAGGAGCGCCTGGAGCAAGGTCTATGCTGCAGTCATAGGGCCTGTGTGGCGGCAAGGTTGAAGCTCTGTCCTTGGAAAAAAACCTCCCGGAGGTCATGGTATTCACTCGGGACAGACGAAAGGTCAACGGGCCTAGGACCTTCAGTGCACGTCTTGATGGAGGGGATGGATGAATGGAGACAGTGAGAGTGGCAAAATGAACTCTAATTGACAATTGAAAATTTAGACCAATCTATATCATATGTGGGTTATGTAGCTTTAACCAGGGGAGGCCTAAAACTACAGGAGTTGAAGGAGAGATAATCACGTTCAGAGAAATACAGTAGTCTCATGATGGTTTCCAGACAGGAGGAGGGACACGGGAACAGTGCTATCAGTCACAGTGGCAAGAGGCTTACCATCTAGGGCAAAAACAGTCTTGGGGCTAGGAAGTGGCTCGGTAGGAAACAAATCCACAGTCAATAAAATTGTCATCAGCCCCCAAATCGACTAAGTCCAGGAGCGCAAAGGAATCCTTGTTAAGTGTGACAGTACCTTGTAGCTTAATACGCTTGGTGCCCCCCCCTCCTGTGGCAGAGCAAACGCCCCAGACCGAGCTGGACAATTAACCAGAATGTGTCCGGTCTGAGCGCAATACGTGCAGCGTTGATTAAAGCGATTCCACTTCTCTGGGGTAGATCTCCTACTCAGTGGCTTGGGTACCTCCGTGAAGACTGGAACAGAACTGGAAACAGGACCAGCAGAGAACGACTCGTAGGATGAGGAGCAGCTGGACCAGCCTGAAGAGCGGACCTGGAGCACTAAATCTGCCTACTCTCTCCCTATGCCTCTCTTGCAGTCTGTCATCCAATCTCATGGCTAATGAAATTAAATCCTCTAAAGGGTTAGTTTCAACCCGGGTTGCCAGTTCGTCCTCAACCTCTTCACTCAAACCCCTAAGAAAAACCCCCTGAAGGGCCCTCTGATCCCAACCACATTTTTGCATCTTAGCTGCACAATCTATTGTGAACATAGACACAGATCCTGAACCCTGGCACAGAGAAAGGAGAGGACTATTGCTTCTTTACCCTGTAGTGGGTTTTCAAATACTCTACGCATCTCACTGGTAAATGAGTGTAGGGACTGACAAGACACAGAGCTACTGTTAACTAAAGCCATAGCCAGGCAGAAGCCTTACCAGTTAGCACGCTCATTATAAAAGCAATGCAGGGTCCGAAACAGACGGCAGGGCAGAAGCAGGAGATGGAGCGGCTGTGGTGATTGATTCCAGATGTGAAGCAACCTGTCCAATCTGATTGTAAAGTTCTGTCACACTTGTAGAGAGTCTTGAAATAGAGTCCATGATTTCCTCACGCGCTCGCTCTTGTTGTCCAACTCTCAAACCATGAGATTCAAGAGCCAGTTTGAATTGCTTTGCCTCTGCGGAGTCAATTTTGGCCAGATTATTCTGTTATGGATTGTGTGTTGGACCCCAAAGCAGAGACGGAGACTGAGCACAATTTAAGGAAGGCTTTACTTACAAAAAGTAAACAACAAAAACACAGGGCAGGAAGTGGAGACAGGGAGCTGGCTGGCTGGTCTGGAAAAAGGGAGACCTGAACACAAGACAAAAAAACCACAAAAGCACAAACTCACTCTGCTGCTGTGAACTGACTCTTGACATTGAATGATCTGGCAGAGAAGTGATGTCTGCACCAGAGCTTTGAGCAGAGCTGATGAGCAAGAGGAACAGGTGTGTGAGCCCACACACCTGCTGCAGAGCCAGCCACGCCCCCAGTCACACACATGCCCTGAAACAAACAAAAAGGAAGGGGGGAGGCAGAGCAAACCCAACAATAAAGCACATTACACATACACATTCAAAGGAATGGTGAAAAGTCAATGATTTAGTCTGCAGTACAGCGGGTGCCCCCTGTGCCCGTAGGTGGGACAGCTATAAGATAGTAATAACCCTATCCAGATATTGTAATAGATCCATGCTCAGTCCACTTCTATGGTATTGACTATGGACCTGGGGCATAATTCATAAATCTTCTACATAAAACTGTAGATTTTCATCAGAAAGGATACATTCTGCCTCATCTCCAAAAGTGTTTTTAACCACATATTTTTTCTTTTCTGTTGTGTTTCTCATAAAGTGACATAAGTGTAAAGAGGAAACTCAGTTTCTCTGCTTGTATCAACGATTTTGTCCTTTCGGTTATTACCCAATGCTCATTATAAGAGGTGAGGGAGGGAACATAAATTGATTGGAACTCATCACAGGAAAGCAACATTTAAAAAAAAGAAGTAATAATCACATGGATTCTGCCCGGATCTTTTTTGTTATATTACAGGTCTTTTCGTAGGAGTTTTGACGGCATTTATTAATAATATGTTGAGCCCACTGGTTGCGCTTTTAAGCCGTATACCTGTCATGGAGATAAGTATATTCATCTTCAAGTAATGTGACTTTTTTCTGCATTATACGGGTTTTTTTGTGGGATTAAAGTGGAACTAATTTTACAAGCTTAGATCAGCTCTCACATCCACCACGAGGGAGCGCAACAGGAGCAGCAGCAGCAGCAGCAGCAGCAGCAGCAGCGTAGTTGTGTGACAGTGATCACCACCTCCAACCGGCTCCCTTCATCAGCGGGTTCGTCTTCGGAGCTCAGCAGGCACCAGGTAGTCCCGTCTCAGCCCAGCCAAGGCCCCATTCGACCCGCAGACGACGGTGTCCTACCCAGCGCTGGCTTCACGTCCCACTCCGGTCTCCCTACGCTTGCCAGTCGAACTCGAGTGCATTCCCAGCCGTAAAAATGTCAAAACTGGACCAGGTTTTGATCCTCGACCCTCCTTCCGACCTCAGATTCAGAGGTACGTGTGTCTTTTTGGCGTTTGGCTATGAAATTATGCTGGAAATGTCACGACTTTGAATTATTTGACTCCTTCCCCTGGATGTCTTGCTAGCGTGCTAGCCTGCTAGCCAATGTTGTTTAATGAGGGCTAGAGACAGGATTAGCAGTGGCAGTTGCAGCGGCCATATTGTGTATGTATGAAAATGCATAAATAGTACGTTCAATTAAACCACGTAGTACTATTATATTTCGGTAATAACATATGAGAACTCTCCCTTTTATATGCTGAAACCAATGAGTCGAGATAATATCATTGATAACCATTTCAATGTCTCATTATTTGTAATATTTATGTAACTATTAAAATCTATGTAAAACTCACATATATTATACATATACATACAATAATCAAATGACTGATACTAAATATATTAATACTAGATTACTTGTTTAACTACAGTAGTAGTATAGATTTGAATGACAATACTAGTAAATAAAATGCACTGTTATACATTTTGTTCAAAACAAAAATGTCACTGCCAGTACACTAGGCAAGGCGAGTTTATTTCAGACACAATGAAACTCAAAGTACTTAACAAAACAATAATAAATAAAGTAAATAATCATAATACTTGAAAAAGAGTGACGATACAATTCTTCTGTTGTATGCACAACTAACTCAAAGTAGAAGCCTGTCTCACATTTTCAGGAAGACTGTTCCTGATTTTTAACTACACAATTCTGAAATGCTACCTCATATATAGTCATGACCACTATAGACAGATCATAATATTTGATCATGATTTTTCTTATTGTACAGCACAAGGCTGCAAAATAATTCATCACGACTGCAATTAGTTATTTGCAAAATTAAAGGTAATACTGGGAATAATGACAGAGAGAAAAAAATGCTTCAATTGTCTCTTTCATTATATTTTGACTTTTGTTATTATGAATCTTGTCTTCCAGTAAGAATGTAGACAAAAGTCAAAAGAGAATATGATTTAAATGAGAAATGAGTACGACTTTTTACGGCTTGTTTCATTGGCAAAACGGAAGGGGCAGGGGAACGTTTTGCTTTTCCAAGCCACTTCCAAAATTCTATTTTCCTGAGACCAGAGAGAGACCAGAGAGAGACCAGAGAGAGACCAGAGAGAGACCAGAGAGAGACCAGAGAGAGACCAGAGAGAGACCAGAGAGAGACCAGAGAGAGACCAGAGAGAGACCAGAGAGAGACCAGAGAGAGACCAGAGAGAGACCAGAGAGAGACCAGAGAACTGTATTCAGGCATAGGTTACCAAATATTTTATAATTATTTTAGTGCATCCAATTTTTACTGTAAAACATAGTTTTCTTAGAGCTCAACACACTTTTATGTTATTTGTATGTATTTATTACCGATGTTAACACCATCTTTTAAGAAACAAATCTAAACCTCAACCACCATTCAGAAATATTGTATTAAGATATGCAAAAAGTGTTTAATGATATTAGATGACCACAAGTATAAACAGAACTTGGACTTTAAAAATCTCAACTCCTTGTTTGCAGAGGTTTTTGAATGTATTACTATTGTATGTACTATTAGCCTGCCATTGTGACGATGTCTCTAGCCTTTATTGTCCAACACTTGGCTGCTTGCGCCCTCCGCCATTTTGAGTTAGCGTTAGCATCGTAAACAGGCCGCGACTGAATCCACGCGCTCGAGTGATTTGCGTACCCGGCCCGGAATGCACTCAGACATGGAGGCAGCGGGCTGGCGGCTACGACCGAAAATTCGAATGACAAGAACTCTACCGTCACTTGCACAAGCACAAATGGGCTAAATATACAAGTAGTCATCGCTGACACGCTCTACACAAGTGACACGTCCAGGCTAGCTACTTGTTGGTGCTAGCTATGCCAGGCTGTGCAAGTCTATTATCTGAAACGTAACCTGGATTTTAACATGGGAAATAATGAACAAAATAATGCCCCTTTCACAGCGCTGATTAAAACGTCTTTACAGCGGACACACAGGCATTCAATCCGTAGAGGACTAGTTGTTAAAGGGGCTAACTTGGCTAGAAATATAAATGCTAACCTCTTCAATGAATAGATGCATAAACCGTGATTTTCACCCGACTAGGCAGTTGGGGATTTAGAGAATGTATTACACAAGGTGATAGGATTTTTGGTATGTCTGCTTGCATTTTCTGATGTAGCAATACATATTTTACTTTAGTGTGTTGTATACTTATTATGTAACATTGCTTTTGCCTTCTGCATATTACAGCTGGGCCCACTGACTGCAGGTATTAACAGTGTCTAAATGTGATTTTATATCTTTGTACACGCTTTGTACAAACTTTATCAAAACGTCGATTGGCCTTTGATGAGAGAAACATTGTAATTCATAGTATTTATACTATTGTTTAAAAATCATCTCACTTATATGAAATGTTTGTTCAACTTGAATGCCAGCTCTCTGAACACAAGATCACAGCACAATTAGCTTTATAAAACTGTTAGTACAAAAACTAGACAGATGGATTTGGAATGGAAATGTATGCACAAACATTAACATTTATTGACAACTGGACGTTGGTCATCTTGCTCCCTTGTGGACCAATGGCTGCTATATGAATATATATTGATTTTCCTGTGTTCAAATTGTTTGTTTCTCTGATCTGCTGTTGGCGAATTTACAACTTTGTAAAGTCCTCCTCCTGTTGTGATGCTTTACAAAAAAAAGTACTCTTCTATACATATATGGAAAGAACTACTGCAGTAGTAGTAGCCAACTGATAAAATCACATTATTTCTTCTTTTGCCCTTAATTCTGGCATCTGATAATTCTACATTTTTAACTTACTCTGACTGAGGAGGAACTATTGTGCCGTTGAGTGATTGCCCTTAGCAGAAATTGTTAACATTTTAGAGAGTTTGGCAACTGTGTTGTTGACTTGCTTTCCCTTGTCCACCTCCAAGTCTGCTGCTATTTTCCGCTGCCATTTAAGAGTCATTTAGTCAATTAATTAACCAATAAAGGATTGGAAATTACATAACGATTTGGGACGTTTGATGTTGTTGTTCAAGCAGTGTTTGTGTGGGCAATCCACTATTGGAAATGACACCCTTTTTCCTTTTAATTTGAGAGCAAAGCTTAGAAGAACTACCATTTGGCAAATGCAAATGACAAAGCCAGAACAAAACAAAACTAAACAGACTTTGCTTAGATTAAAGCTGTGGTGTTTTTTTCCATAACATATTTTTTTTGCCTCAACAGAAAGTCATGTAAAATCTTGTGAATGAATCAGCCCACAACATACTGTCTTCATTAGAAAATGATATTGTTCATCATATATCACCATATCAAATATTTTGCATACTTGTAGAGAGAGAGAGAGAAAACATTTTTAGCATATAATATTATTCCATATTAAAGAGATCCCATGCTTTTGAAATCCAGATGGAACTGAAGACCCTGTGGTTAGTGGGTAGGGTTGCCAACTTAATTTATAGACTACATATATATATAAAAAAAAAAAAAACATCAGTCAAAAATGAAATTAAACTAGAAACTTGCAATGGCTGAAGCCATTGCGATTGACTGCGGAACAGATCTAATGTGGAAATCTGCTAAAAAAAATCCTTGAAATCCTTTAAAAGGCCTTGAAACTGTTAAAATACTTGATAGATATTTGAAACTCCTGAAGTCCTTGAAATTGTTGAAACCTTTAAACTCCTGAAATCCTTGAAACTGTTGAAACATTGAAACTCCTGAAATCCTTGAAACTTTTTTTAAACCTGGAAACTGTTGAAAGTGTGGAAACTCCTGAAATCCTTGAACCTCCTGATATCCTTGAAACTGGTTAAATTCTTAAACAGTTGAAATCCTTGAAACTACTGAATGTATTGAAAGTGTCCTTGAAACTGAAAAATCCCCTCACCGCTGAAACAATTTGGTTCCTGTAACTAAGGAAACCTGGTCTGTGGTCATTATCTGGTGGTGGTCTGAGTCTTCGTTTGGGTCTTGGTCTGGTGGTATAATGCAACCTATTAGGTTGCATATATACTGGTTATACTGGTTTACATGGAAAAATCCCTATTAGGTTGCATTATACTGGTTTACATGGAAAAATCCCTATTAGGTTGCATTATACTGGTTTACATGGAAAAATCCCTATTAAGTTGGTAAAAACCCCTATTAAGTTACCATTATACTGGTTTACATGTAAAAACCCTATTAAGTTGCATTATACTGGTTTACATGGAAAAATCCCTATTAAGTTGCATAATACTGGTTTACATGGAAAAATCCCCATTAAGTTGCATTATACTGGTTTACATGAAAAAAACCCTATTAAGTTGCATTATACTGGTTTACAAGGAAAAATCCCTATTAAGTTGCATTATACTGGTTTACATGAAAAATCCCTATTAAGTTTGCATTAATACTGGTTTACATGGAAAAATCCCTATTAAGTTGCATTATACTGGTTTACATGTAAAAAACCCTATTAAGTTGCATTATACTGGTTTACATGGAAAAATCCCTATTAAGTTGCATTGTACTGGTTTACATGGAAAAAACCCTATTAAGTTGCATTATACTGGTTTATACATGGAAAAAACCCTATTAAGTTTTGCATTATACTGGTTTACATGGAAAAAACCCTATTAAGTTGCATTATACTGGTTTACATGTAAAAACCCCTATTAAGTTGCATTATACTGGTTTACATGGAAAAATCCCCATTAAGTTGCATTATACTGGTTTACATGAAAAAAAAACCCTATTAAGTTGCATTATACTGGTTTACATGAAAAAACCCTATTAAGTTGCATTATACTGGTTTACATGGAAAAATCCCTATTAAGTTGCATAATACTGGTTTACATGGAAAAATCCCCCATTAAGTTGCATTATACTGGTTTACATGTAAAAAACCCTATTAAGTTGCATTATACTGGTTT